ACCACACCACACCACACCACACCACACCACACCACACCACATATCCTCAAAGAATACCTATATAGCATCACAAGGCAAATGTGAATGGAATACTTTTAAACGTATCACTGACCTTAGTTGGTTCTTCCAATGTACAGAGCATCACTATGGAGTAGACCTCTGTTTCCCAAACCATCCTCCAAAAGTCTACCACAGTATCAACCAGAGGGGCCTGGGTAGCAATATAACCAATCTTTTCTTGATAACCCTAACAAGATCATTAACGATCAGTAACATTTCATCACGTAATGGGGCAAACCCTCTAAACTGGGCTTCCTGTGAATTGATGACGTCATATTTAATGTGGACGTGGCTTACTTACTTCGAGGTAACTGGCATTGATGTACGTTGAATCTTCTTTATCAGAAACAGCAGAAAGAATCACTCTAGTTCTGTCGACTGAAATACGTTCACTAAGTTATTCATCTTTGTAGCGGTAATACACTCGCCTCTCACCCCTGGGGTCTCGGGTTTGATTCCTGGACTTGGTATCACATGTGAGTAGAGTTTGTTGGGTGTCTCCCTTGATTCGAGGCTCTCTCCATCCGAAAAATGTATGACGGTAGATTGAAATTAAATCTTTGAATTAGCCATTCATTGACTTTGATCTGCCAAAGGTTGTTTCGGAGTTCAATCTGTAAGTTAGCCGTGTCCTAACTTAGATCAGCCAAGAGGTTGTTTCTGAGTTTGATCTGTGAGTTATCCATGCCCTGACTTAGATCAGCACAGAGGTTGTTTCTGAGTTTAATCTGTGACTTAACCGTGCCCTGACGTAGATCAGCACAGAGTTCGATCTATGAGTTAGCCGAGTTCCATGACTTAGATCAGCTCAGAGATTGTTTTCGGGTATCGATAAAATTCGAAGGCTTTTTTGAAGATAAATGATTCCAATACTTACATGGAAGAACATTAGAAAAACGGTTCTTCTTGGCGTTGTGTGGCTGTACAGCGGTAACAAAGTCGTACGTATCATCTGGTACCACACCATTCAACAACTACAACGCAACGATAAAGAAAAGTTACATCCATGAACTAGTCCCATCCCTGCACGACACGGTACGTCATGCGTCATACTCTGTTTTCTCCTAACTTTAAGTTAAAATACATTCTTCTTAGCCAGCAAACATTACCTCAAACTGCTTCTCCATACCAGTGACATCTCCTTGTTGTGTACGTTGTTCAAGCTTGCCCAGTTTTGTTCTGAGGTCTTGAACTTCGATTTCCGTGTGACCAAATGTGACGGCTTCAAGTAGAGCATAGTGGATGAAGGCGTACTGCGACTAGGATCAGAAGGAGAAGATGTCATAATTTGATCAATAAGAGCTGGTGATTTTCGATACAACTTTACTTTGGTCATTCAATAACGTATTTGGTGGTCTACCATCTCTTTCTCATTCAATGAGAATATCCCTCATTAGTCATGCGCCTTGGACAGTCGCTCCCTGAGTCATCTACGTAAAATAAATGACAATTTTTAACTCACCAGTCTCTGGACCATAAAATTTCTTTGTGAACGTAGCTTTGTGACGTAAGAGAACACGTCCAGTTCGCCCTTGGCTTGGATTTGTTCCATCATGGCGTCTATGACGACAAACGTTCCTGTTCGTCCGACACCAGCACTGAAAGAAGTAATGGATTTGAACCGTTAAACGATCTAACCAAAAGTGTATCATTGATATTGAACTCTGGTTACATGAAGGTAGGGTGAACCTGGTACTAGAGACAAGACTCGTTTTTCCTTCTCCAGGGTACACCAAAAAACAAAAGAGTTAGGTAACGTAGGGTTGACCCTGGTGCTAGGAAGAAGTCTCTAACAAGAGTTAGCAGTAAGGGCACCCTTCCACCCTTGGTTCAGTTAACGATAACCCCGTCTTTGGTTTAATAGGTATATTGTCCAGACAAACCTCTCAAGTACGAGCATCGACGAAACAAAGCTAAGTGGCCGTATTACAGAGGTGACCGTACAACAGAGGTTACCGTATACAACAGGTGTGGCCGTACAAGAAGTGGTCGTATTACAGAGGTGGCCGAAACACAGGAATGGCTGTTTGACAGATGTGCCGTACAGTAGAGGTGACAGTACAGAGAGGTTTGACTGTATTTTTTGAAAACTTAACGAAATTAATTAACGGTGTAAATCCTCACCTGCAGTGTACAATCATTGGACCTTTTTCGTGACAGACATTTTGGTACTTCTTCACTCTTTTCCAGAATTCCAACAAGCCTGTTGCGTAATCAGGRACGTCGTGGTCAGGCCAGGAAGTGAAGAAAAAGTGAACGACTTTTCGTGGTTTAATTTGAGGCTGAGATAGCTAAAAGTGGAAATAGAATGAATGGCTAAGCGTAACTATTTTCGTCGATATGGTTATTCTCAAACCTCGAAGTACAGAAGACAGAGTAACAAGAAACTTAACTCATGTACATGTGATCTGAGGCGTTTGAAGATCGAACCCATGATAACATCTATCACCCATTAACTGTTTTTTAACTGATTGACATATTAACTTACCATTTGCAGGCTAAAAGTCCTGATTTCAAAATCTGCCAATTCTTCTTTTTCTTCAAGCTTAACTGTTATCCTACCATATGTTGAGCTCTCGTCAGGCCAATACTGATGACATTTTACCTAGAAAATAGATAAATAAATAATAGATAGGTATTAAAATTAAAACCTAAACTGAGAACGGTTCTCGACGCCATGTTGTGACGTCTTCCATTTGTAATGACATCATTTCTCAATTGCTATGGTTACCTTGCCATTTTCTTCAGGTTTGGTAAGCATGACTATTATGGATGACTTTTGTTCCCAGACCATTCGCCAAAAGTCGCTACAAGTTGACTCCTTGGGGCCTGTGAAAGAGTGTAGAAAGGAACACGAATTGATCACAATATTGTGACCACGTGTCATTCCCTTGAGTGCTGTTACTTTATTTACAAGTGACGTTTGACAAAATACTTTAATATGAATGTGACTCCATTATATAATAATACTGATCTATTGATATTCTTAATAATAATACGTGCAATGAGACCATTTTTATTTGAAAATTATTTCGTAAATAATTCAAAAATATTATAAATATTATATACATTAAAAGGACTATTTTTAAGTTTGCCTACCAATGGTCGCTATATACTGATTCTTTTCGATGTAGCCCTGAAAGAGGAATTGTAATATCATATTGTCAAATCTCACAAGTCATAACTCAGTTCTTCCCTCGTACATCCGTCCGTCCGTCCGTCCATCCTTCCATCCTCCCGTCCATCTGTCTGTCCTTTCTGTCTGTCTGTCTGTCTGTCTGTCTGCCTTGTCTGTCCTTTCTGTCTGTCTGTCTGTCTGTCTGTCTGTCTGTCTGTCTGTCTGTCCATCTGTGTTTACGCCCCTCAAGGTAATACTCACATCAAGGTAGTTAGCGTTGATGTAGTCTGCTCCTGGTTCATCGTCAATTGTCGATAAAACGACCCTTGAATGGTCATCTAAAAATCAACACAAATATGAAACATTTCGCTCCTGTCATCCAACATGGCTGCCATCACGTGATCATATTTCATTGGTTAATAAAGACAGACTTACATGCTTTGATATTCCCGTATCTGTTCTTTGGTTTGTTTATCGGCAGGTCACACTTGGTTGTCGTCACTCCCAATGGATTTTGGATTAACTATATTAAGAACAACAAAATAATTTTGTCACAATTTTAAAATCACATCTCTTCTATAACCAGTTACTACTGATTTTTTGATTGAAGGAAGCCAAAAATCCAGATGTCTCAAGCTGCAACGGTAAAACAGTACCAGGTCACGTGATTTGAAATGGTAAGAAAGTGGCGGGAGATAATCACGTGATATCATTTTTTGATTGACAGAAGCCAAAAATCCAGATGTCTCCAAGCTACAACGCCGGTTAAGTAGTACCAGGTCACGTGATTTGCCATCTAAAGAAAATGGCGGGAAACGTTTGATTATCTGTAACCAGGGAACCAAGCTTCTGTCAAAGAGTTTAAAAAAATGCAATTGAATAGCTGACCTTGTATTCCTCATCGAAAAGTTGGTCTGAGTCGGCGTGCATGCGAAGGTAGTAGGTCTTTAGCTCCTCTACGGGGATTGGTAAGCGCTGCTGGGGAGCGTCTGCGACCACGTTATCGTAGAGACCTGTCAGCGGTAAACATAAAACATTTCAGAATTGATAGTAGCATAATGGCGAATGATTATGGGATATGGGAAAATAATTATGCAATAAACAAAGATATTGTTAACAACAACACGACTCACGATCTTCCGATTCAGTTCCAAGTTCATTCAGCTCTCTTTCTTCTTCTACAGGAGGAGCATTTCTCCTTTTCCTACGAGAAATGAATAACAATAGAGATGGTAATCAGATTATTATGATGATGATGATTGGTGATATATGATGATAATGATGGATAGTTGGTGATGATGATGATGGTGATGGATAATGATGGTGTTGATGATGATAATGATGATGATGGTGGTAATGATGATGATGATAATGATGGATGATGATGATGTTGATGATAGATGATGACGATGGATGATGATGAAGGATAGTAATGATTGATGATACGTGGATGATGATGATGATATATAGTGGTAGGTCATAATGGTGGAATTATTGATATCGTACATACACTTGCCTTCGATAGAAGTACAGGGCACCAACGATAACAACTACCAGTACTATCACAACCACTACACCAATAGCTGCTCCTGTCCCGCCCCCACCATCACCTCCTGATCCTGATCCAGAGGGTTTTTCTATAAATAAGTTCACATTATTTATCCATTAATATAATATTAACAGTTATAAATGTGATAGATGATGGAAATTTTTACTACGTCATTACTTACGTTGCGTAGTAAATCCAAAGTAACCACTCTGTGTGAATGTTTTCTTGAAACACGAACAAAGTAAAATGAATATTAAAAGTATATCTTTATCTCATTGTAATCCATACAGAAATTCTCACGTCCGTCTGTCTATCCCTCCTTATCCATCCATTCCTTTCCATCCATTTACCATCCATTCACATATCTATAAATACATGCCATTCTATTCATCTCTGCCCATTCATCCATTCATCTAACTAGCCATCCTTTTCATTTATCTATCCATACTTTCCCATCCATCTATCCACCCATTCTTCCTTCATCCATCCATCTATCCACCCATTCTTCCATCATCCATCCCATTTTCCTTCCCTCCATTCATTCATTCATTCATTCATACATACATACATACCTCACTGCTGTAGCCCCTACTAAAGCTCTTATACTTGGTATTAGGCATCAGTGGTCCATTATAGTAAGTGGGCGTGTCACTAGCACGTGCTACCCGCACACTACACTTTGTACCCTGTTCTTCACCCAGGACAAACACTTTGTACTTTTCATACTCCGAAGCATCAAATCTAATCGCAAGATAAGCAGCAGGGGTCTTTGACTGGTGTGCCACACAGTACGATACTAGGTCCTCTTCTTTGTAAGACGCCGGATCTTTTAGCTGGTCTTGTGTTCCTTGGGGTATTACGACATTGATCACATCGTAAAACCTGTTAATATTAAGATGTAGGGTCAGATTAAGTTAAACTTTTGATAGGAATAAAATGATATACGAAATATAATAGAAATCACACAACAGACAGAAGAAAAGAAGAGAAAAAGTATATGGACCGTTTTAGATACGGGCGTATTAATGTTTCCCATTTCATACAAAGTTTGATTCCCTTGGGTATCATTACTTTGTTTAACGGTTGCACACGAGAAGACAAATGAATATGGATACAACTTAAACAAAGAATCTAATTCTCAGTAGCACATGGTCTGAAATAAAAAGTTAAACACTAAGTGAAGCTTAAGTGGTCCATTGAAGTTTTCTGGAATGGTTTTCTTTTAATTTATAAAGCAAAGAAAAGTTAGAAAAGTGGCACAGAAATGCGTAATTACAAACCGTACCTGATTTTTCCGTTGATGTCCGAGAACTTTGGTATGTGAATGACGGCAGTAGATATGGTGACGTCAGGGGTCTGGGAAGGAGTTTCGGGTTCTGGAGGATCTGAAGAAAGAAACATGCATTACGTAGTAACAAAGAACAAGGATAAGAACCAAGGACAGTAAGGGGAGGTCATTCGGTACAAACACCTTGACATCCCTCTGGACCCAATCAGGCTTGCAACAACGTACACACACAACAATAACGAACGAACAAACGAATGAACGAACGAACAAACGAACGAACAAACGAACGAAC